GGTTCACACACTAAGGGGACTGGATAGATACTAAGTAATCCCCATTGTCTGAGATAGGTGATAGAAACAGAATAGGTGGGTGGTGTCCAGGGCTGGTTCACCATTTACCAGCTAAAGTGACTTTGGCATGTCTCCTCCTCTTTCTTTCTTTCTTTCTTTTTTTGGAGAGATTTTCACTATAGGGCGCGCACGCTCGCCAGACAGACAGAGAGAGACATCGAGACAGAAAGCAAGAAATCACCCCCCAGGGAGGATGCTCATGCCACAATCCCTTCTCCTCCATTCTCCTCTCAGGATCTTGGGCACGCACACACACGCACCCGGTATGAGTTTTAAGCCACCAGGTCCGGGATGCGAACCGCAGTCGACTACGTGGGAGTCCAGCGACATAGCCATTACACTAACTGCTGGTTCCCTCTTCCTCTTTCTGAGCATGAATTTCTTCTAGAATCATGTTGAGAGGGGCCCATCTGCCCTGCTTTCCTCAGCCAACTACTGTGAAGATGAGATGGATTAAAGCTGAGAAAGCACTCCAATGACTGCAAAGTGCTATGCAAGTATGAGCTACTGACACTACCAAGGTGACAACTGCACCTCCACTGTCATCAGTAAGGGGTGATAACTGTCCCTCAAAACATTCCACGTTCCTCAGACTCTGAGTGAAGGTCCAACTCCAAATGGAGAAAATGCTTCTTGTCTCCTAAATGTCTTTTGATGTGGAAACCCTCGGCCCTGGGTAGATTTCTGGATACTGTCCCACTGCTCTGGGCCTCCAGAGTGGTGATTTTCTTTTGACTGGGAGCCCAGACACTCCAGGGTGTGAGTGGTATTCCACGTCTCTCTTGCTTAAGGATTCAGGCCAAGGTCTCTTGCTTGTATGGCCTGAACAGGGCCCAAAGTTGACCCAGTCACTCTTATTCCAGATGTCAACACAGAGAGCTTTGTGGCAGGGCGGATACATGTTTACTCTGGGCAAAGCATGCCAACTTTGTCTTTGGCTTCCATTGCATTTCCTTTTGGAATTCTTATCCTTCTCCAACTCTTTTCTATCTCTCTCTCAGAGCAAGTGGTACCTATCTCTCTTTCTAGACCTCCCCATTGCCAGTACCAGCTTTGGTCTAGAGCTGTACTGTCCAATAGAAGTTTCCAGAATGATAGAAATGTTCTATATCTGCTCTGTTCAATGTGGTAGTCACTAGCCCCATGTTGTCATTGAATATTTGAAATGTACTCAGTGTGGCTAAGAGACTAAATTTAAAAAATTATTTAATTCTTTAATTTCAATTAATTTACATTGATTGCTTGTGTATTAGGCAGTACAGGTTTAAAGCTCAAAATCATAATTTCTTTCTTTGTCCATTGCAATCAAAATCTATGGCCTGTGATTTAATCCCAAGGTCTTCTTTTTAGAGAAGCATTAGTGAACCAGTATCATAATTTGCTGTCTACAGCTAGGGTCTTATTTCTCTTAGATAAGTATGTAAGCTAGGAGCAATGTCATGTTTTAGTCAAAGCAGAGGCTCAAATTATAAGAATTTGAGGACTCCGGCAGGTTAATGTTGTGAGTGCAAAGGTTGTGGGCATAGTGCTCTACATTTCAATGCATACCCCATGGGTGGGAACATCCTCAAGTGCCCTGGGTTACTTCTAAGCTTCTTCTGGCAGCTTGTGGTCTAAGGACATTTAAGGTCAGGGACTGTGGATGGGAACTTGGGAAAGGAGTGGAGGTGGGAGGGCTGGAATGGGCAGAGCCCAATGGATCCCAGAGCTCTTGCCAAAGAAATTGGTGTGCCAGGCAGAGAGGTGTTTTGTTCCACCCTGTAGGGCAGGAGGGATGGAGGGTGTGGAAAAAGGGCACCAAGGAGTGATAGAAAGTATCATTACCACTGCAATGGGACTGGAATGTTAACATTGAAGTCAGAGACCAGAAACCAGATTAAAGGCCACAAAAGTGGATTGTTCCACTTTGGGCTGTCTTGGACAGGCATTGCAATTCTATTCTTCATTCTAGTCTCCCCTCTTCAGGACTGTTTCCTCTAAATTCTTGAATGAACATCGCTTTCTGGATATTCTTTTCCACCCTGAAACTGAGCCCTGCTTCTGTTTTTCTTGGATGAAGACATAATTGCTCTCAAGTTCCTGCCTGTGTTTTCATAGATACCCTCTGGCATCAGAAGCATCTTTGCAAACAAATGCTGGGTTGAGTAGAAGGTGAAAGATACAATGGGGCAGAAGTCAGAGAGGAAGATCAACTAGAGGAATAAAAAGCCCCAGGGGACCCCTGGAAACAGCAGAAAGCACTTCGGGATTTATTCTCAGGACTTTGGTTTGCCAACCTGACCACCACCTCACCTGCTTTCCACTATTTTAGAAACAGAACAAATAAATCCTGGTTAAACCATTGCCCATGACGAGCATCTGTTTATTTTTAAAGTATCAAGTTTTATAAAGTAAATAGGAAGCTAAGTGTCAAATGTGTTATCCAAAAAAGTGGTTTACAAGTAAGTACATCTGACAGTAGTTCAAAAGAGTTGTGAAAAAATAGAATTAAAATACAAGTTTATTTTAATGAAAACAATTGAAATCTATACATAGTTCTTTCTTATAATATACATTTTCCACAAACTTGTTGAAGCTTCCTGGCACAAATACCAAATAGAAACCAAACCCCCTGCTGTTTTGTAATACAATTCAGCCAATAAGGTGCTTGCTGGACCTCTTCAGGCTCTTGAAGGAAGAACCACTCACAGTATTCTACATGACCTTGTTCTTCCTTATTAGCCTTTCCTTCAAGTAAATATCATGAGGTGTTTGGTATTGAGGGCAAAAGCCCAGAAAGGAGAAAGAAATTTGGAGAATCTGACTGGGTTGACTCTCCACACTCATTATCAGGTACTCCCAAGGCAGGGCTATTATGCCAAGGGTCCTGTTATACCCGAAGCATTTTGTGACTGCAAAAATGCTTTCTGCATGTATTTGCCAATGATTACTCTAAACACTATAAGTTTTGTTGTATTTCATGAAAAACAGAAGTTCCTACTGGATTAAGGTAACTCAAAGCAGTGGTTCTTTCTTTTAAAATACGTGGTCTCATTATGTCTCTCTTGCCGCAGCCTTGTGAGTAGCTGGGACTATAGGTGTGCACTACCACACCTGGATTTTCAGAGGGCTCAGAAAGTGAGCAAGGCCTGCCACGTGGTCTTAGGCTCAACATTGATCAGTGTGGGCTAATGGCTCTTTTTCTTTTTTTTTTTTTTTGAGAGGTGTTTGTTATAGGCTGCTTGTGCTGGTCAGACAGACAGAGAGAGACAGAGAGACAGAAAGCGAGAAATCACACCCCAGGGAGGATGGCACACCGCAATCCCTTCTCCTCCATTCTCCTCTTGGGATCTTGGGCACGCATGCACACATGACCGGCGTGAGTTTTAAGCCACCGGGTCTGGGATGTGAACCACTGTTGACTACTTGGGAGTCCAGCGACATAGCCATTACGCTAACTGCTGGTTCCAGTGTTAGCTAATGGTTCTTGATAGATGTGATTTTCCTCTCACCTGCATTACATCTGGCAATGCCTGGGAACATTGTTTTATTGTCATTATGTCATGGGAGAACTTTTGTCCTCTCCCAAAATATTTTATTGTGTTATTTAAAAAAAATGCTACAGGGTACATGCACTTGTGCATGTGTTTGCACGAATGAAGGAGAGACAGAGGGAGAGGGAGAGAGAAAGTGAGAAAATACCACCCCTCTACCCCCCTATGGAAAATAGTCATGCTGTAATCCCTTCCTCTCCATTTCTCCTTCCTTTAGGGCAAGCATGCCTATGTGTGTGCAGTGTTTTCAAGCTGTCAGGTCCAGGACTTGAACCATGTAGTCAGTCATGTGGGATCCAGCCACCTTTACTACTACTACTCTACCAACTGGTCCATCTACTGGAAATCTTAAGCAATGTCTTAAGACGTTGTTGCTTGTTACAGATGAGGTGGGGTGGTGTCCTACTGGTATTTAGTAGGGAGAGAGCAGGGATGCTAACACCCTGGAATTCACAAAACATCTTCATGACAAACAATCATTTAGCCCAGATTGCCAACAGTGTCACATCTGAGAAACTCTGGTCCAGAGAGGAAAGTCCAGGCTAAGTTCTCAACATGAAGTGGCAGATAGCTCTCAAAGGGTTGTCACTTTTTTAATGTTGGAAGACTAGCGAATACCCAGAAGTGGGCCCAAGAAATCCCAGAAGAATATTACCTAGAAATCTCTACAACCAACAAACTAGTTGGTTTCCTATTTTTATGTGTTCTTATCTTCTCTGACAGACAGGGAAGTGTTAGGGGTTATACAGGTCAAGCCCTTCTCAGTACTCGACTTCAGTACACACAGAAGCAAGCCATAGGACTTGTTTTCTCCAACTGTAAAACAGAGCAGTCATACTTTGTAACCTATTTGCCGGCTGGTCCTGGCATTGCAGTTTCCTGCCATTGCAAGATGAGAAAAACCCAGAGCCTGTCCTACGTGAGTCTTGCCTTATGGGCTGGGAGGGAGAAGAAAGCAGCAGTGACAATATTAGGAGACTGAAGGAGAGGCCAGAAAGAATTTGCGTAGCAAGAATTTGTGTAGAGCTGCTTAGAAAAATAAAAGTGAACACAATTGTTTTTTTCCTGGTGATAAAATTAACACAGTCATTGTTGAAAAATCTCTCAAGTACAGAAACCATATGTAGAACATAAAAATCTCCTATTATTGTACCACTAGGCGATATTAATAGCTTTCATATTTTCTTTCAGAAAAACAGAGGAGGGGATGAGTGTCAAGTTTTCTGAGCTAGACAGGTTGGGGAGATTGAAAAGTCTCTAAAGACAGCAGAATGTGACAATGAGGTTGTTGACTGGTTTGAGATTACGTTCTCTGTGAATCATGAGTCCCCTTCCTTGCCTGGATAAAACAGACAGCAGGACAGATGGGTTGTGAGACAGACGAGCACGTGGTCAAGTCCTCCTTACCCTCATGGTTTATGTAGAGAGCATCCTGAGTGTTCGCCTCCATGAATAGGAGAAGAGTTCTTTACCTGAAAGAGGAAATGAGTCATTTTAGCTCAGTGACGACAAAACAGAGGATGCCATTTCTGGTAAACTCTGTAGCACTTAGCATGACTGAACACTGTCACTTTACTGATAGGTGCAAGAAAGCTCTAGTTTCCTTGATTTTTTTTTTTTCGCAACTTTATTATGAAGTAATTTAAATCTTATAGCAAAATTGTAAACTATATTGATAGTGAAAAACAAAAATTCCATGTACCCTTCACCCAGATACTGTAATTGCTAATGTTTTACTACATTTGATTTATCATCTTATTTCTTCTCTATGCAAAATATTTCTAGGTTTTCCAAATCATTTAAGAATAAGTCACAGTCATGATACATCTTTCTAGTCTGAAAACATCCACTGTTTATTAACTGACCAGAATACAGAAATAATCATGGTAGACACCTTAGTTTATCCTTCTAATGAGCTCATTGATCTGGTTTTCCCTGTTGCCAGCATCTCTACCTTCTACAAAATGGGTGGTCTTTTTCTTCTTTCTACCTCATGGAGAAGAAAATTTGAAGGCCATAGGACATGATACCTCTTTACCTCTAAATATTACAGTATTTTCCTAAGAACAAGGACATTCCCTTACACAAACACAGTGCACTAATTAAAATCAGAAAACTAACATCAATATAGTATTATTACCAAATCTATAGAAATTACTCTACTGCTGCCAGTCATCCTAGTTGGGATTACATATTATGAAATTTGGCACTGGGTAAATCCTGACACAACCACAGCTGAACTGAGAATTTGGTCACCTAAAGTGGAAGATCTTTTGAGTCTATCTCACTAGTTCATATGTGCATTGGCAGACAAATACTTTTGAATTCTGAGTAGCTTTGGGTGAGGAAGGTATTGTTCACTGGGTTAGAGGTACAGGCTTGCAGTGGGGTTTGCCCACTGAAAGCCACAGTTCCCACCTTGCTCTTTTTTTTTTTTTTTTTTGGGGGGTTTTTGCCACAGACTGCGTGCGCTCACCAGACAGACAGAGACAGAGAGACAGAAAGCAAGAAATCACCCCCCGGGGGGATGGCCATGCTGCAATTCCTTCTCTTCCATTCTCCTCTCGGGATCTTGGGCACACATGCACACGTGCCCAGCATGAGTTTAAGTCATCGGATCCAGGACTTGAACTGCATTCAACTACATGGGAGCCCAGTGACATAGCCATTACACTAACTGCTGGTATCCTCACCTTGCTCTTGTTTCAGGTTGTGCATAAGGACTTTTAAACTTTGGGAACTGACTGGCCCAGATCAGTAAGGCATAAAGGAAAAACTGCTAGAAACATGGATCTGGGAACCAGCAGGTGGCATAGTGGTTAAGGTGCTGGACTCCTACGTTGTTGACTGTGGTTCAGGTCCTGGATCTTGGGTGCGTGTGTGTACATGACCAAAATCCCAAGAGGAGCATAGATGAGAAGGGACTGGGGTATGGCCATCCCCCCTGGGGATCATTTCTTACTTTCTGTCTCTCTGTCTCTCAAATGAGTGCTTGTGCTCTATAGCAAACATCTCTCTCTCAAAAAAAAAAAAAAAAAAGAAAAGAAAAAGAAAAAGAAAAAGAAAAAGAAGTGGGGCTTGAATTAGAAATAGAATGATTTCAGGACTTAAATATAAAATAGGCATTTTTTATTTATACTTTTAAATTTAATTTTTTTTGTCTACAGTAGGGTGTGTGTGCTCACCAGAGAGAGTCAGTGAGAAATCACCCTCCCAGGAGGATCGCCACGTTGTAATTTCTTCTCTTCTATTCTCTTCTCGGAATTTTGGGCACGCATGCACACATGCCCAGCATGATTTTGAAGCTGCTGGACCAGGGACTCAAACCATGGTGTCAGCCATGTGAGATTCAGGTATCTTAACCGCCATATCACTTGCTGGTCCAGTCTTCAGTGACTTTAAAAAGCTGACTTTGATGTGTGGTTTGCAATTCCCAATTTTATTCTCAGTGTTGTTCTACATGTTTCATGCTAAAGCAGACAATCAGGCTAGAGTAGCAGACCAAATAAAGCTTTCAAGTCATTTCTAAGTTTTAAAAATCAAGACTTCTAAGGCTCATTCTTTGAGGAAGTCAGTGCTGAGTCTTCTCTGCTGATTCAACTAATGGAACGTGACTGGAAGAAGATGCAAAGCACCTCCAGCTGCTTCACACCATGAAGAATCTCTCCCTCTCTTGCACGTACACACCCTACTCTTAACATTGCTGTCACCACCATAATGAATTGGGAGCCCAGATATCTTTGCAGTCCAAGCCTAAGATGTGATGAGGGCCACTGAGCATAAAACAGCCAGCTTCCAGGCATTTGGTAATGAGGTGTCTGTGAATTCAGAGCCTGTGTCACAGATGTCTGAGAAAGCTTCTCAAAAGCCACCCATTTTTCTCCATAAGGTGCAGTGATGCTGAATTTTTCATTTTGAAAACTCTACATTTTCTGAAATGGATTGCAGATTCTAGGAATTATTTCGGGATGTAGTCCTTTCTTTTTGATAATGTTCTAGCTCTGTACAGAGCAACTCCTGCTCTGCTCCGGTGCCTCCCAAATAAAATGCAGACTCTTTATGCCTATGACAGATACAATGAGGGATTACAGAGGAAGCAAGGCATAGAGCAAGGGTCTGCAAAGTCTGGAACAATGAACAGCAGTAGTTGGGGCTTTGGGGTGGGAGGACAGAAAGAAAGCATGGCTTCTGCAGATCAGCCAACATTTACTAAGTGGCAGGCCTTGGGCTCACTTCATTCATTCATCTACTATTTATTCAGCACTTACTAAATACCTGGCACTCCATATAGTACTACCATTCTCTGCCCTAGCACCCACATATAGGAGAAAAACCTCAAAATGTTGGTGAAAAAAATGGAATTAAAATATGAGTTTATATTGGTGCAAACAATTTTTGAAATCCACACATAGTTTCATAATACACATTTTCATGAACTTTTTGAAAACCCCATGTATTCTTTTTTTTAAAACAAGAGGATTTTTTTTGAAAGGTATAAACATGTTTATTATTTGTGTTGTCTTTTTTTGTAATTTTATTTTTTTATGTTACATTTAATCACATGCATATTCACAGTGTATAATGTTTCTTTTTCTAGCAAATTACCATGTGTATCAGTCAAGACAGGGACATTACTATCCACATCATTATCATCATCACATAGCTTTTCATTTTTTCATGTTATTATTATTTTTTTAAGCATTCAATCACTATTCATCATTTGGCTTGTAAAGAGAATTTACCTAACATGAAATACTTCTCAGACCCATCCAGTTGAGAATTCTATTTCTGTGTCCCCAAAATGTCATGCCTCTCTATTTGTTCTTGTGCTATCCTTCTCTTTACTCCTCCCTTCTCCCTTCCCTCCCCCCGTTTCACACTGTCTTCAGCATCCATAACTATTTTCACTGCTTTTATGCTCCCCAATATTTCAATCTCTACCATAGAGTGTATATAGTTGGTATATATTAAGTGGACAATATCTTTATTTCATAGCCTGGCTTGCTTCACTCAGCAATAAATCTTCCATATTCAACTACTTTCTATCAAATGCCAGAGTCTTGTTTTATTTATTTATTTATCTTTTAAATGACTGAATACCGACAGAGTGTATGTGCCACACTTTTTCAATCCATTCATCTGTTTGTGGACATTTGGGATGGTTCCATGTCTTAGCAATCATGAATAATGCTGCAATAAACATTGATATGCAAGCACTTTTTCCGACTGAGCATTCTCCTGTCCTTTGGGTATATACCCAGAAGTGGGATTGCTGGATTAAATGGTATTTCTATTTGAAGGTCTTTGAGGAACCTCCATATTGTTTTCCACAGTGGCTGGACCAATTTACATTCCCACCAACAGTGTAGCAGAGTAACCCTTTCACCACGTCCCTGCCAACACATCATTTTTTGTATTTTTAATCTTCACCATTCTGACAGGGATTAGGTAGTATCTCATCGTGATTTTAATCTGCATCTCCCTTATGATGAGGGATATTGAACATTTCCTCATATGCTTTTTGGCTGTTTGTATGTCTTCCTTAGAGAGATTTTTGTTTAGCTAATTTTCTCATCTTTTTTTTTTTTTTTTTTTTTTTTTTGGGAAACCC